GCTCATTGCTTAGGGCGTTAATTCCAGAAATGCTAAGACCTTTTCAGTTCATTGCCAAACCCTTGATTTCAAAAATGCTTTTGGCCAAGGTAGTATCCATGGATAGTGCCCATTTACATATTTAGAACTTAAAGATATCTACTTGTGTTATAAAGGTGAGATGACCAAGAACACTTAGAAAAAATTTTAAACGTAGTCAATATTAAACTTCCAGGAAACCATACAGACAGTTGTTGTGAAGACATGATACCCTATTCCAAATACACATCAGTGAAACTCCACCTACATTACAATTCTGAGGTGATAAGAAGCACAATGAAATGGCCTCACTATACAATAATTTAGCCTGCTTTTTTCTCTTAGCCTGCCAGCACTTTGTAGAGCAGGGGGCTCTATCTGCAGCAGTGCTGAACTTGAATGTGGAAAGAGAGGGACAGCAGGCTAATTGGAATAAGCATATTGTGCGGCAGTAAAATGTATTTTTATTGATATTTGTATTTAACCTTTCATTTTTATCATTTGTAAAAAAATAAAAGTAGTTAAAGGTAATGACCTTTGAGGCTTTCCATGTTTTTGTTTAAGCAAAATTATTTTTTTCCCAAATGAAAACTCATGTGAAGTCCAAATGTAAAAAAAACAGATGAAAGCCGAGCAGCTCTTTGAGAATGTATATGTGTGTGTGGGTGCCTGGAATCTACTGTGTTGATTTCACCTCTACCATTTTCAGAAACTGTTTAGAAAATGAGAAATAACTCCTTGAAACATAGTTTGAAAAACACAGCTGTCTCTAATTTTAAACTCAATTTAGTTCTATTATATGGGTGTTGATTTAGGTCCATAATTATTTCTATGGCTATTTTTAAGGAAAATGTTTCTATGTCTTAGTTAATGGGACATTATTTAAGGCAATATTGAATACAAGAAAATCTAAATGCAAATACAAGATTTAAACAACATTTTGAGTGCACCACAATGCGATTTAGTGAGAAAATACTACTGTAAACATGAGATGCTGTATAGTGTAAACACAAAAATATAATGAACAAAACGTTTTAGGATGTTGTTATGCTTCAATTGTGATGAACAATCATTTGTTAACTTGGCAGATGCCATACCATGATGGCAGGTAGGATTTCCTTGTGAACAAGACACATTTTATGGAAATAATGAAAAGTGTTTGCAAGATCTTTGCCAAGGAAAAATAGCATCAATCACCAAAACATGTAAGATGTATGAAATTCAATATGCATTTTACTTTTACTTATAGCAAACCCTTAGCCTTGATGATAGAAGTGTAAATGGAACTAATTAATGAATTTGATCAAAACCTTTCAGACTATAGTTGTGATGAAATGACTCAACACCAGTCCCCAACATAACCTGGAGAGGATACTGCTGTAATGTAAGAAAAGGTGTTAGACTGATATTGGTGTGAGCCCAGATGGAATCTATCTTTTGTCAGTTATTCTTAAGAAAGTGTCCCTAATAGTCATGCAAAAACTCTTTCAGGAAGCCACAAGCCTCTATACCCATTATAGTAGGGCCTCTGTTCTTCTATTTTCTGTAAAAGGCTAAGTTTGGCCACCCTCCTTCTCTCTTTTCTTAAATTTTATTTTAACCATATAATTTTTTCCAACATTGTGGAATGGCATCACATTTCCTATTTTTAGTCCACAGAAGAGAGGAAATACATTATTTGGATGCAATCCAAGGAAATTTGGAGTGGGTGTAGGGATAAATGTTGAGAGACATATATATTTCTGTGGTTCTTGATTCCCTTCCAAGGGAAGGGCAATAATAACACATTTACTGTTTTACATTTAATTTTTATGTGTAGGTTATCATCAAGTGGTTCAAAAGCCAGCATACATAAGTATACAGTGAAAAACCTTCCTCCAATCGCTGTCCCCTAACTACCTAGTTGTCCCCTAATGGATCACCCTTGTTCTTAGTTTCATGCATCACCTTCCAAAAAATTCTTTCAGGCATATCCAGACAAGTACAAATATGGATTCTTTTTTTAGGGAAGTGAAGTAGATGATTTTTAAGATCTGTCCCAGGAATCTGGTAAGTATTTCTTCCAGAGCTCATATATAAAATCATTCTGATGTTTTATTGTAAATGGCATTACAGAAGACAGAGGACTCCCTGGTGGGAGAGGGCTTCCCATCACTGGCATGCTGACTAAGGTTAGCAAAGTGTTGTCAGGTCCAGACTTTCAGACCCACAGCCTCCCTTCATATCACCTAAAGTAAAGGAAGAAAGCAAAGAGGGGCAAAAGGAAAAAGAAACCAGATTAATATCTAGAAACAATTTACAGATGAAGTGTGGTTGTCTTTTCAGATCAACTGCTTTTTCTATTATTTCCCCAAGTTGTTAAATAAACCACGGCCAGTGCCAGTGCAGTTCAGTGAGTTCAGAGCCGAGCTCTTGGCAAGTCACTCAGCTGGCCTAGGAATGGGGCTGGATCGAACCAAAGCTGAAAGAATTAGTGTTTCCTTCCTCTTGATGACCCTCTGGGAGCATGCCTGGAATGCATGAGAGTGGGAGATGAGGTGGTGTTCATGCAGAGGCAGGACTGGATATGCACGTGGAAGGGGCGCTGTGCTCTGGTGTTATTTTTGGAGGCTGGAATTTCACTGCTAGGTGTCCTAGCTCATTCTCTTTTAGAGAATTTTTCTTATTTTCACCTGTGTCCCTTCTTTTGCAACCTTAAAGTTACTATTGAGTCTAGAAGCAAGGTAGATGCTTCAGTGTTGGGCTTAGTCAAGATTTTCTTTCTCAATCCCATGTACTGAATTAACATTACAAGAAAAAAATGCAACTCTAGCTGCCACTTATATTAAGATTTGACTTTGAAATTCTCCCTAGTTAGTCAGATAAAAATGTAACTCCTAGTAGAAACATCCTCAAAACCTCACTGCATGTATCAAACATGGACAATTGCCATTAAAAACAAATTATATGAGGACTTCATGGCAGTCACAATGCTTGGCATAAGTAAGCACTCAAAAAGGGTCTGGAAAATGAATACCAGTCAGCCCCAAATGCTCAACAACCATTGATCACCTTTCTATGGCATTTTGTAAAAACTATTAACATTTGCTTTTCCCCCTATAAACTCAGTAATTATCAAAACCATCTTTTAAATATGGGTAAGAAAGTGAGCTTAGACTCAGGAGAGCACTTTCATTTTTAAGCACATTATTCTAGAAGTGGGAGCCAAGTAAATAGGTAGACTTGAATCAGACAGAAATGCAGTAAAATTTGCCCATCCATCCATCCATCCATCCTTCCATCCATCCAATATTTATTAAGTTCTCTATATGCTGCTACTAAACATGATAGTCCTATATAAATCACTGTGAACAAAAGAGCTTCAATCCTTATCCTCATGGGACTTACCATCTAGTGGAAGAGAGAGTAAATAAAATAATCATAGATTATGCTAATCTTTATGAAACAGACAGGAAGCTGAATTAGAGGATAATGGGATGAGAGTGTGTAGATATTACAGACAAGGTAGGTGGAGAAGCCATCAATGAGAAAGACATTTAAGCTGAGACCCAAAGGATGAACAGAAGTTAGCCATGCACAGAGTGGAGAATAGCATTCCAAGCATAGGGATTAGCATGTACAAAGACTTTGAGGTAGAAAAGAACATGGTATATCCAAGGAACTGAAAGACAAGAGAGAATTTGACTTGCAGCTCTGACTTCAACAATTGTGGGAGATAGAATAAGCTACTCAATCTTTTGACCTGCATTTTTTCATATTTAATAATAAGATAATGGTGCATACCTCACAGAGTTGTTGAGAAAATTTTAATGGGCATTTAATGAGATAATATGTAGCTTACGCGAATCACTTTACATCTACACAAAGGTCTCTGAGACTCCGGTTGGTCCTCATCACCTAATATGTCTAGTCTCCTAATCATTTTATGTAGACCTGGGACTCAACCATCACTGGAGCCAAGGAACATCCTCCATCCTTGGTATTTCCACATTCAACAAGAGGAGAAAACAAGCACAGATTCCATTTGTTCATCTTAGGCCCTGGAAATCAAAATGAGAGAGAGAGAGAGAGAGAGAGAGAGAGAGAGAGAGAGAGAGAGAGAGAGGGAGGGAGGGAGGGAGAGAGAGAGGGAGAGAGAAGAATGAAAGGATTTTATTTTTTAAAATGTGCTTCATCATTTATGGAATAGATTGTAAAGGTCAATTTTAAATTAAAAAAGAATTTTTTACATTTGGACAGGGTTGAGGAGTTTGGGCCTAGGTGTTCAGGAAACGAAATAAAGAGAACTGAAATAGTGGCCATTGTATATCCCATATACAGCAGACAAAATAAGGCTTAGCAAGTTGCATACTTTATCTTGTTTAATCTTCACAAAAACCATTCAATATAGGTCTTATTAGCCTTGTTTTAAAGATGACACAAATGAAACTCAGAGGGAAATACAGACCTCACTCAGTCCCTGTCTTATCTTGTGGAATTTAATATGGAATTGGGCAATTCTTTGATAAATGATGAGAATCTTCAAGTTAGCATATAGTGTACATAGCTGATGTTTTTCTTTAGAATAGCTTATTATTTGTGGCAGTGCCACATTATCATTGATTGATTAATAATTAATGATAAGTATAATTAATAATGACAGTGCCATTATCATGAATTTAACTCAACAAGCATTTACTGGATACCTACCCAATGTTTCAGCCACCAGAGTGGGTAGAGCTATATAGTGTACAGCTTGTTTTGGGGGATTGAAAATAACTGCTAGTCCACTGCAGATAGTGTGTGCAGTGGGGCAGGAGTGGTTAGTAAGGGTTGAGGTGATACCACAGTAGAGTTTTGGCTCTTTACTATGAAGATAGTCACCTGATCAGAGTAGCATTTGAGAAAGACTGGTCACACAGCTATTTTTAGAGAAGCCTTTGTATCCTTTGGGGCCATGTTAGTAACCTTCCTCTTACATAATGTTTCCTCCTTCCTTTTAGGAACAGTGAACGGTGCCATGGACTTGATCTTGATCAATTCCCTACCTCTTGTGTCTGATGCTGAAACGTCCCTCACCTGTATTGCCTCTGGGTGGCGCCCCAATGAGCCCATCACCATAGGGAGAGATTTTGAAGCCTTAATGAACCAGCACCAGGATCCACTGGAAGTTACTCAAGATGTGACCAGAGAATGGGCTAAAAAAGTCGTCTGGAAGAGAGAAAAGGCTAGTAAAATCAATGGTGCTTATTTCTGTGAAGGGCGAGTTCGAGGAGAGGCAATAAGGATACGGACCATGAAGATGCGCCAACAAGGTAACATGCTTTTTTGTTGTGGGCAGGTGAGGTCTCCTGGGACAACACACACACACACACACACACACACACACACACACACACACACCTTTGTTTCAGTAGCTGCTCACTCAGATGCTGGCACGAGCTTCCTGAGTGTAGAGGCTGAAACCCTGTCTGCTCTTTCCAAGCATTGCTGTCCCTAGTACACAGAGCATTAGGGATGAAAGAGACCGTCCAGTCCAATTCCCGCACATTCAATTTTTTCCCTTGGCATCGCGCCTAGTTCATAAGATGCAATGAAATATATGTTCTGCTAAGGTCTCCATGGCTCTTCTGGAGATATGAACATGTTACATGTAGGTGCTGTAAAAATCCCACCAATGAAAACAACTGTACATTGCCAAACTTTGGGCTATTTTGAGCTTTCTCGTTGACTTTTAAAAATCTGTTTCTTTATTTCTTTGGTTTACCCTTGAGTATTCTTGACAGAAGTTAATGTTTTCAGGGGGATGGGAGGGAATATCGTAGAAATAAAAAAATTAAGGAGAGCATTTATCAATAACTCAATTTAATTGGTAGTTGGTGCGTCAGTTATCTACTGCCACAATAATGCTGTGTAACACACAACCACAGTGGCATGCAACAATAAGCATGTATTGTTTGTGAGTCTGCAAGTAAGTCAGCTGGGTTGATTAGGTGCCTGGGCTCTCTCACATGTATCGATATTGGCTGGCTGTAGGCTTATTAGGCTGCCATGGCTGTGCCACCTTGGCTCTATTCCATGTGTGTGTTATCCTTTACCAGGCTAACCTAGGTCTGATTTGATGGAGAGGGCAGACGTGGTAACACAGGAGGCTTCTGGAAACCTAGGTTTGGTATTGTTCTCTCTCACTTCTGCCTCATGTTATTACCCAAAGCAAGTCAAGTAGCTGAGCCTCAATCAGAGTGGGAGCGCACTACCCAGTAAAATGGCAGAGTATGGATACAAGGAGGGAAGAAGAATTGGGGCCCTTTCTGCAGGCTGCCATTCCTGGAAAGAGAGAAGGATGTAACTGAGCAGTCGAGCACCCAGGCCCAGCTCCCAAAACACCAGAACTTGGAAGGAGGATGTGGAGAGCCTTCTGCAAGGAAGAGTTTTACTCCTTGTTACCACCTCACAAGACAGTGATGTGATGGAGCCTTTCTCCCAACATAGAAGTGGGGCCTGAGCTAAATCTTTAGGCCAGTCCACCAAACTGATGGCAATCAGAAGACATGACGTTGTTATAGACTTAATGATTACTTAATGTTACTTAATGATTCTGTTTTACCCGAAGGCTCCCAGAACTGGACAGCCAGGTAGACTTCTGGGGTTCTTGATGCTGTCTGTTGGGAGGAAGGTACAGAATTTCAGCAGAGATGACTTCTCCCTGTTCTGACTAGAAAGATCTGGCCCCTCACCCATCAGCCCCTTTCTCTGAGCTGGTCATACCTAAAATGCAAAGTCCTGTCCAAATTAATATTTCTGTAACCACAGGGGGCTGTGGACTGAGAATGTGTCATTTCATGAGATAATGACATTGGGAGTTCTTTAGGGTTTGACTTTTCATTGTAAAAGTGATTCAGATAAATACACCTCTGCACATTTTTCCTATTGGCTGTTTCTTATCTAGGAGTCTGCAGGCTTTTTTATATCAGTGCTTCTCAAAGTTGAAAGTTTGTAAATCACTTGCAGATCTTGTTAAAGTGCAGACTCTTGTTCTATAGATCTTTGGGGGAGAGTCCTGACATTCTGCATTTATAACAATGTCCCAGGTGATGAGGCTTCTGGTGGGGGGGGCCTTACTTTGAATCACAAGGGTTTAGTAGGAGTCTAGATGGGATTCACCTGAAAAAAAATTTTTGAATTTACTAACGGGGGTAATTAAAAGATTTGAAGGCAGCCAGCTCATTTGAAGGTCAGAAGTGATAAATCACTATTCATTACAAATGAAGGAAAAGGTTTTCTTAGCAAAACTGTAATGTTGCTCTTTAAATGACACCAGGGCGAGTGGGAAAAGCGCACAGCAGACATTCCCAGGAATGCAGCACTCTGGTGAGGGAAGAGAGGTTGAACAAAGGGATGTGAGGTGTGCCAAAGCTATCATGGCTGCAAGGCATCTCTATTTTGTTTCACTTGTGTCGGTTGGGCTTTGACTTGTATTAAGAATTATGTCCTGCTGATATTTCCACACTCTCAATGAAGATGATCTGAGATTTGTGCCCCCATGGTTTCACAGGAATGAAATATGAAGTGCCACTTTGCCCTTTCTGGGCTATCCTGGGATTGTCTTTGACTATGTGTAAATAAGAGCCTGTAGAGCATATTAAACCAGAACAATGGAAGTCAAAAACCAACTGGAATGTTCCTTCCAAACTGATAGTCCAGGTCAGCACAGATAAAGGAAAGAGTCAATTCAGTTAAATCAGGCATGGTGAGACAGTGATAGTGAGAATTAGTTGAGAGAAGATGGCTTTAGAATCATATTCACCTGAGTTTTAAGTCTTTCTCCACCACTTACCAGCTGTGTGGCCTCAGGCAAGTTATTTCACTTCTATTGGTCTCATTTTCACCTATGAAATGGGTATAATAACACCTTCAAAATTGCCTAAAAAGTTTTAAACATTTGAGAACCAAATGAGATCACCAACATTATCTGGCTCGTAGTAAATATTCAATCATTATCATTATTATAGTGCCTTGAAATAAGCAATGATTTAGTGGGACTATTACTTTTCCTACTCAATTGTGAAACGTTTTAATATCTATTAACAGAATTATGGAAGTTCATGCAACATAGGAAAATAGGCAGTACTTTCCTGTAGTTTAATAATGACAACATCCCAGGCTGTTGAAGTGATTCTTTTTCTTTTGCTGACCATCCAATGGCTGAAGTAGAGTGCGAGGAAAGTGCTATCCTTCATAATGAATCAGGAAAACCTCTCAAACTCTGTCTTTGTGACTCTATTAATTCCCTAGTAAAGCATCATGGGACCTCAGAAGTGCCTGCCCGGGGACACAGCAGGATAGAATAAACATCAGTATATTCCTGCTTGCTGCTGACTTGTGCATATGGGGAGGAAGTGGGAAATCCATTTGAGATGTGCCAAAACACAGCTTAAATTGGCTCACATACTCCAAATGGCCAAATTGTTTTTATCAATGGCATCATCCAAAAACAGTCAAAGGCAGTTTATTCAAACCTCAGTGGTGGCTTTGCTTGGAGGTAGGGCGGTGTAAATGAAGTTTGAAACATTTTCACACCCAAAGATCTGTTTCAGAGTCTTCCATCAGAAGAAACATAGGTTATTTTTCTTCCTATTTTCATTTGATAAATAGTTTTAAGGACATCAAACTCCCCACATAAGATTTGTGAAGTTGAGAGAGAGGAGCCATTTTTATATAAATAAATAAATGAACATGTTAAAAGCATAAAGAAAATATTGGGTTGTTGGAAAAGTCATGACATATTTTTGCAATGAAAAACAGAAAACTACGTCATGACTTTTCCCACAGCCCAATAGAACAATTCTCAATCAGATTCATTCATTTATTCTTTCATCCACAAGTATTCTTTTTTTTTTTTTTAAAGATTTTATTGGGGAGTTGGGGAAGGGGAACAGCCAAGTTGTTGTCCTTCAATCTTAGTTGTGGAGGGCGCAGTTAGCTCAGCTCCAAGTCCAGTAGCCATCTGGCCACTCAGCTCAAGGCGTCGTGTTCAATCTTAGCTATGGGTGGGCCTAGCTCACCCACATGGGAGTCGAACCAGCAACTTTGTTGTTAGGAGCATGTGTTCTCACCAGCTAAGCCATCCTGCCACCTGTTGGCAGCTCACTTGCAGTTCAGCTCGGTCACAGCTCATTGGCCCATGTGGGAATCAAACCGGCGACCCTGTTGTTCAGAGCTCGAGTTCTTAACCAACTGAGCCACTCGGTCAGCTCCTTAAGATTCTATTTGTGCCACACATGGGAGATGCAATGATGTTAACATTCCCTGAATACTTATTATGTGCCTAACATTCCCCTAGCAACTTCATATACATTACCATAAAACTTAGTATTTACCAAGTGCATATCTGGTGAGGACTATAAATAGATGAGGCTTTTCGCTATTGTAACTTAGGTACATGTGCACACAGGGTCCCAGTATTAGACCTGGAAAGGATAACATAGGCCTGATCCCAGAGGCCAAGGCCTAACCAGCCTGTGCTGCCTTTCAACACAGATGTGAACCTGCCCTCTTGGAATGCTCAGCCTAGCAGGGGAGAGAGACACTAGGAGTGGGTCTGTCATGGGGAAGTGCAACAATGACGACACTTAACCTGGATTGCAGGGGTCATGAGAGGCTTTTGGAGAAGGTGACATCTGGAGGAAGACTGATGAGTGAGTAGGAGTTGGTGAGACGTAGGCGGAAAGAAGGAGCAGGAGAGAGAGCAGGAATTTCTTGACTTAGCCGTGACTGATCCATCTGAAGAAATCAGTATAGTTCAGAACAGCCGGGATTGAGAGCTGAGGAGTGTGAGTCTGGAGAACTGGTGGTGTTGAACATGTGTGGGGGTCTTAAATGTGTGTCTCAACTTTCACACTTGTTCAGTGGTAGGAGGCCTTGAGTAAAGGACTTAGTCACCTTCAATTCTATCTCCCACCTTGGTAGACTGTGGATATCCTATTTTCATAGGGCTTTTGTGATGTTACACGAAATAGTAATGGACATGAAATGACATTATTACTCCTATTACTCTCAGTCCTTAACTACCATTACATGAAAGGAAACAACTGAAATTTTGCTCAATTATTTTTCACCCATGTTTGTAACATTTATTACCATCTGTTTTCTTCTCCAGCTCTTAAGGAATAAGTGAATTGTGTTCTTAGTTAAGTTCTGTCAATGAATTAGCTCAGCCCAATGATCTTGAGTAAGTCATCTTCTAACCTAGGCCTCTGCAATCTCATTTAGGAAATGAGGTGGTAGGACTTTAAAGCCTTTTGAGTGCTAACATTCTATAACCTATGAAAGGTTTCTGGAGCCAAGTTACCTGGTTTCGATCCTGGTTCTCCCATGAACTTGCAATTTGATCTTGAACAGGTTCCATAACCTTTCTGTGCCGTAATCTCCTTATTTGTAAAGTTGGGATAATTGTAGTACCTATCTCATAGAGGTACTATGAAAATTCAATATGTGTAAAGTCCTTAGAACAATGACTTGTAGTAGTAGGCGCTATTAAAAGGTGTTTCTTATTTTCATGACCCAGGCAAGTCACATGACATCAATCTTTGTGTACCATGTACCAGCTGGGCTCCTGTGTCATTGGGAAGCTCAAAGTGCAGCACAGAGATTGGGGACCCCTTCATGATTACTCAGCAGAGAACAATCCATCTAGAGATGTCAATGCAGGAGGCGACAGGCTGGACAGCAGTGGAACTCTGGTGTGGCTATGTTCCTACCTTAAGAAATGAGGGAGCTTAAAAGGCACAAAGTCTGAAATAATAAAGAGCCACAGAATGCGGAGAAAGAAAAGCTATGTTGGAGTTGAGCCTAGTGGGGAATTGTGGTTCCTTTTCAGGATACAATGCTGGGTGAGAAGTCCCACGGTCAGCTAAACAAGCTTCACACAAAGGGGCAGAAAATATAAACAAACGATGTAGAAAGGAACAACAGCATGAAGCGGTCTGAAAAAGTTCCCACAGGAGCCCAGTTGCATGTCACAGAGAGCAAGAGCTGCACACATTAGATTGCTGAATGAAGCACCTTGTCGGGGTGAGAGTGAGCCCCACAACATCCCGCCTCCAGCCCCCTGCCTCCCCAACCTGGTTAGTCCATTTCAGTCCTGTTGAGAAAGCTGGCACACAAGTCTGTATTACAAATGTCAGCCCAGCAGTGTTGCTGTTTATTTGTATTTGGGAAGGATACTGACCTCTTCTAGCACTTAGGAGCTTGGTGTACACCATTTAATATTCCTAACAACCTTTTAAGGTAAACATTTTTACTTCTAAATTACATATGAGGAAACTGTGGTGTTCAGAGGTTAAGTAACTCACTCAAAGAGTTCCAGTAAATGGCAGAGGGTGGTCTCAAGTCCGGGACTGTCTTATCCCAGGTCTCACAGTAACCTTTGATATATACCATGGTCCTTCTGGGTTTGCCCATGTCACTGTCTGCACCAAGACATTTATGTGGGAGTCCTGCCAGGGTACCATGCCTGGGTCAGAGGAAACCAAGCTGACAAACCTAAAGCCCGGATCCTTCTGAGCAAGGTTCACAGGTGTCTTCTGCTCTCACTGGGTAGCCCTCTAAGCCAATGGTAAACAGAACACTCCATCAGCTTCTCAAGCCACCCATCTGAAAACCACTCTATTAACGATTCAGACCTTAGGGTACAGGGTGTTTTGCTATTGATTTCTAATTTAGGTGCATCCTAGTCAGAGAATTTGTTCTGCAGGATATCGAGTCTTCATTGTTCATGGAGATGTTCTTTATGGCATAATAGGGAGGAGATATGCTTGAAAATAACATATTCAGATAGCTGGATACAGGGGTCCAGCAGATCTTTAATTGTGTTACTGAAATCTGTATTTGTCTTTAGTAATTTTTGGTCTTTTTGATTCATCAGTTTCTGAAAGTTTCCACTATACTTGTGGATTTGTCAATTTCTTCCTTGAGCTCTGTCATGGGTTTTGAAGCTCTGTTGTTAGGTGCATACACAAGTTCAGGGTTATTTAATCTACCTGGTGGATGGTTCCTTTTTATCATCATGTAAAGACCCCTTTTGGGGGCTTTGTCTGATTCCATTAGAGAAATGCTTGGGGCACTCTAAAGCAGTGAGAGTTATTTGGAGCAACAACAACTCTGAAGGATCAAAGGAAAAACCATTTGGCAAATATCTGGCCATTCTTATTCTATTAACACTTTGAGGAAGCTTGGTAGGGATTGGGGCTGGATGGCAGATTTGTAGTTTATATGGTTTACAGTTAATATTAGGTCTTAGTTTGGTAATAGATATTAATCAACACAAAGTTGTCACCTCCCCAACTGGTGGCATGGGGAAAATGTGTATATGTATATTGTGTGTGTATATTTACATTTTAACAGAGGACATGACCATTTTTTTTCATTAGATTCTTCAAAAGATATCTAACCTTAAGAAAGGTTAAAACCCGTTAGCTACCACTGTTTTTAATATCATGAAAACCAGCTGACTCCTGCCAAGTGCCAGCCCTCGTCTTCTGAAGTTCAAAGTTCAGCTGCTCCTGGAGAAAATATGTGACCTCATTTTCTTGTTTATTTTCTCTCTCTCTCTCTCTTTTAAAAGCTTCCTTCCTACCAGCTACTTTAACTATGACTGTGGACAGGGGAGATAATGTGAACATATCTTTCAAAAAGGTGTTGATTAAAGAAGAAGATGCAGTGATTTACAAAAATGGTGAGTATGTGTGTTCTCTCCTCCCAGCACTGTGGTATGAGACATCAGATAGCACAAAACATATTGCATTATCATCTTATTGTAGTCTTCGGGGCAGATGTTTGAAGTAAAGCTGCTATGATACAAGCTAATCAAATTCTATGCTAGAACCTCTCTTAGGCAATGTTTAGTTACTTAATCAAGTAAATTAAAATGGAGATTTATACACATATATGAAAATATATATGCATTGTACATTTATGAATGTACAGTGTGAATTCTGAATGTATAGTAAAACCCCATTATGATGTGATAAATGGGGTCTCAAATTCTGCCATATAAAATGTTTGATTGTTTAATTACAAAGTTAAGAAATAACCAGAGTGAGCCTGGGAAGCCCACTGTTAGCAGGAGTGCTGGGGGTCCAACTGTGAACCAAATCTGTATTGGCCCAGCTGTGGTTTGGCACCACTTGACGGCAGTTGCCTGATCCAGCTGAAATATTGATGGGGACTATTCTGAGTTCTGTGGATGGATAGGACTTCCAGGCTGGAGCTGTGATTGTAGTTATCTTCTAGTTAATTGGTTAGTTGGCAGGGTTACCTAACATTTCCCACCTAGCTTTGCCTGTTCACCTCTCCCTGTAGAAGATAAGAACTTCAGCCTCTCCCCATCTTTGTGTGTTTGGTGGTGTATGCCATTGAGTGATAGGCTATCTGCTCTGCCACCATACCTTTCTTGCCTCTTGGGAGAGCATTGAGTAGTTCAGCCTTTTCATTCTTCCCCCACAGTCAGTTTGTAGAGCACATTTTCTCTATCAGATCCGGGAAAGCTGACCAAGTGGAGGGGCCAGACCCAGAAACCAGAGTGTTGGAGTGTGACCCATGATTCTCTACTCTTCTCCCTGACCAGGTTCCTTCATCCATTCAGTGCCCCGGCACGAAGTACCTGATATTTTAGAAGTAAATCTGCCTCATGTGCAGCCCCAAGATGCTGGAGTGTACTCGGCCAGGTACATAGGAGGAAACCTCTTCACCTCGGCCTTCACCAGGCTCATAGTCCGGAGTAAGTGACTGAGAGGCCACCACCTGTGATGGCATTGCTAGGATTTTTAGTTACAAGTAACAAACTGACTCTGGCTACTTCAGCAAAAACCAGGGATGTGTTGGAAGTATACTAAGAACTCAGAAAATGAATGAGAAAGCTGACAAGCAAGTTTTTCAGAAAAGATAGACTCCAGGAAAGATCTGGGGCTCTGCACTGCGGGGAAGAGTGGAGTTTCTCTCTAGGGGTGCTACCTACTGTTATCCTCACTTAGCTTCAGTGATGTTTCTTTCACTTCCAAGTTTTGAATTCCCAGGATAAAGAATAAAATTGGCCTAACATATGTCAGCTGTCTATTGGCCTAGATCAGGGGTCAGCAAACTGCGGCTCGCGAGCCACATGCAGCTCTTTGGGAACGTTCCATCTCAAAAGTTTGCCGACCCCTGGAAGAGCCAATTCTGTCCCTCACAACAATTTAAAAATTATTCGAGAGCCATAAATATATTTTTACATAATCACCATTATGTGAATAATATCCTTTGAAAATTTTATAGAAGAAACTATGATAGTTTTATTTTCATTTTCAATTTTACTTCAGAGCTACGTGTACGTACCCAAAGAGCCGCATGTGGCTCGCAAGCCGCAGTTTGCTGACCCCTGGCGGCAATTCTGTCTCAAAAGTTTGCCGACCCCTGGCCTAGATCAATGAGTTATAGACAAGGGTGGAGCCACATACTACTACAGTGCAGGCACTCGCATCTCACACTTGAATAGCAGCATCATTCCCATAAAAAGGGGAATTGCGGTAAGCTGGGCAGTCCCCCGGACAGGTGTCCTACAGGGGGATGTGTTGGGCCTTCCGCGTTGGTCTGACATCTGGTTAAACATGAAGTCTTCTGTGAATCCCATACTTGCCAGATCATTCAACCGTCTAATGTGGTTTCTATTTTCAGGTTTGAAAAATGCAAGACTTAGAACTAGTGAAAAACCCCCACTATAACTATCAAAGTGGGGAGTAACCATCACCAGTAGTTTTTACAAGAAACTGATCTATAGAAAGCAAAAAATTTGCCCTGAATTTTCCTCAGTTATGTCAGGTATTCATGATATTCAATATTCAGGCTTCAGATCTAAGCACTTGGGATGCTACTGATTGGGATCTCTAACTTACGGAGAGTATTTACTTTGCATTGCGTTATATTCATTAACTCATTCAGCAAATATATGTTGATTATAGCTCTGTGTCAGGCATTGTGTTGGCGTTGAGAATACAAGGATAATAAGAGAAGCCACTGTTTCTTGGATAATTCCCAATCAGAGCAGGTACATACATACATAAGCAGGTATTGCAATATGAAATAGAAATGAAAAAAAATGTGGTCATCTAGTTAGGGCAGTTGAAATCCCCTTTTATTTCATTATGGTCATGGAGATTCTGAATGGCAAAGAAAGAATTTGCATTCATTTCATTTAGATGGTTTCTCACCAGTCTGATATAGCACCATGTACGAGGATAATCAGAATCTGGGCAGCTTTTCCAGCAATATCAGAAACATCAGATGTTGATATGTGGTAAAAAGTTTAAAGCTCTTTTTAAAATAGCAAAACAAACATGTCTTGGCATAGACTAAAATTTACTGAAAGCAACATACAAACAAGACAAGCAAAGAAACAAAAACTCAGAGGCACAGACAATAGTTTAGTGGTTACCAGAGGGTAAGGGGAGAGGGGGTGGTAGAAGAGGGTCAAATATATGGTGACGGAAGGAGAAATGACTCTGGGTGGTGAGCACAGTGCAGTATATACAGGATTATTATAGAAATGTAGAGTTAAAACCTATGTAATTTTACTAACCAATGTCACCCCAATAAATTTAATGAAATTTTAAATAAATAATTAGGTTCACCTGAACTTTTAAGGTAAAGCAAAAGACTTCAAACACATTTTGATCTTCAAGTCGTCTTGTTTTCAGATTGCTAGGAGCACATGTTTACTCTCTTTTGCCCTTAGGAGTATTTCAATGAAACTGTTGGAGAGATGCTGCTAATATCTAAAATCATTCTAAAAATTTTGAGTTGGGCCACGATCATCCAATTTAAAAGTATTTTCTCCCAGTATGACTTCGTTCACGTTTAGTAAAAAATTAGGAACAGGCATTTGAAGGCATTTATCCATTTCTCATAACTGTAGGGTATCTTTCCAGGATGAATTGACGCCTAGGAATAGTCAATGCTTAAAAACTGTGTATTACAAATCACACTGGTTATATTTATAGGATTTCATTTCAGTATAAATTATCTCCCTGACAAAAGATTTCTCACAAGCATTAAGTTTATAAGATTTATCTCTGTGTGCCATAAATACATAGTTTCCTAAAATACAAAATCACAAGTCTTTTGAAGAAAATAACAAAGCCTAATTGCATACTTGTTACTTATCAACAAACTCTTTTCCTGGCTTCACCATCCCCAAGAGATCACCCCTATTATTCCCTTGAGCTTTATTCTTTCCTTCCCAGGATTAGGTGTGAAGCTGAGACAGGTCTACATACAGGTACAGGGCTAGAGACATTAGTTTAATATAACAGGAAGCCCATTTTCAACTCCAGTATCTGCTATCATTATTAGTCTTCAACATGTGCAAATAACCTGTGGTTGGGCTCTCCACAAATCACTAATTGTGCAGAAGTATTTTTCTCTTTATATATTAAGGCATGTAAATATTAGCTTCTAGTCATTGTGTAGTGTTATAAGTGGAAGCCCGTAAGAAACGGCCTATGCTGACACAGTCTTCCTGATTATTTTAGAGAAAATACTGATAACTAAGAATTCTTGCCAAAGAAATTATAAGGTTATATCAGCTGTCGGCACAGGTCCAAGCTTACCATGGTGAAACTAACATTCAGGGACAAAGATACTAGTTCCTTTCAGAAGAGAAATTAAATAAAATTCCTGACCACAAAGGGTCACCCCAACCTTCCTGGGTTTACCTTATATCACAAGGTATCCTTGGGCCTAATTACTATCTAAAATCACTGAGTGCTAGAGAGAAGTAGCCAGGACACATGGATCTAGAAGCATTTTCCCACCCTTGTACTTTAGGTTTTGTATATCTTCTTTCACTACTTATGTTTTCTACCTAAAAAATAGGTGGACACCACTAGCTCTCGCTTCCCCTTTTTAGCCATATTACTTCTCCACATACTCTAGGCCAGAGGTTCTCAAACTCCGGCATGTATCACAGTCATCTGGAGGACCTGTTAGTGTGGATTGCTAGGCCACCTCCAGGGTTTCTCCTTCAGCAGGTCAGGGGTGGAGAGTCAGAGGTTTGCATGTCTAACAGATTCCCAGGTAATGGAGATGCCACTGGTTAAGGATCGCACTTTGAAAACCACTGCTCTGTGATCTAAACACACCTGCGGCTCCCCTAACTCCCCCCCACCCCAGCATGTCCCTCTCTCCTCTCAGTCTCCCCTCTGCTTGGAACACCGTCTTCAGCCCTGTCTCCATTGCTCCTCAGGTGGTCCTGCAGATTCAGCTCATATAACACCTCCTCCAGGAAGCCTTCCTTTATGCTCTCTTCCACCCATAAGACAGGATTAGGTGTTGCTTGTCTTTGTTTCTACCATTACTTCCTGTTTACGTGTCTGTTTCCCACATTCAGCTATTAGCTTTTAGAGAGCAGGGATTGTCTTTTATTTATCTTCATTCACCAGTGTCCACTAAAATTACTGGTTTGTTGAGTCAAGGTGCTCTACTCACCACTGCACCGTTTTCTTAACAAAAGGATGTGAAGCTCAGAAGTGGGGACCTGAATGCAACCGTGTCTGTACTGCTTGTATGAACAATGGGGTCTGCCATGAAGATACCGGAGAATGCATTTGCCCGCCTGGGTTTATGGGGAAAACATGTGAAAAACGTAAGTCAAGAGGACTTGGTGAGTCAGTTGTATATTTAGAAATCCATCATTGGAACTAAAATTTTATATCTGGACAGAGTTGGGGATAGAAGCTAAATGGCCTCTGCTATGCATATGGCATCTTTGTGTGAATCAGAAAAAGATGCCCTTTCCTAAAAGCTTTTTATTGTCAACCACTGGAAGTTGCAATAAGTATATAAGTCTACAATGTCTAGGATGTGAATGTTACCCCCCAAGTTCGTGCAGTACACAATCTGTGGAACTGGCTCGTGGCTCTGATGGCCTCTCTGTGGAGCAGTTTCATTGCCTATAAAATGGGCTCTAAGGGTGTGTTCACCCTGCCCATGCCACAGCTGACACTGGATTATTGTCCATGTTCACTGGTCTTGGACAGACCCTTTAAAAGAAGAATCATGCAGGGCCGGCCGAGTGGCGCGTTGGTTAAGAGCTGGCTTGGGATGCCAGAGGGCCCCGGTTCGGATCCCACATATGAGGGCCAGTGACACTGCCCTCTACAGCTAAGATGCTGAACAACAGCTTGACTTGGAGCTGGGCTGCCATGGGTCGCCGGCGACGGCGTAGGCTGCAGCCCCTGCTACAGTGGATTGCCATGGGCTACTGTGTGTAGCCAGCAGCCGCAGTGAGCGGCCGTCCAGAAGCCGGAGACTGATCTGACTCACCCGGGAAGAGTGCAATGATGGTGCCAACTTGGGCCGGTGGGGCGACGTCCTCACAACTAGACTGAGGAACAAAATGACAGCAACTTGTCTGTTCCCCTTTCCCCAATTCCCCAGTGCTGTTCCAATTCCCCAATAAAATCAAACCTTTAAAAAAAAATAAAAGAAAAGAAGAATCATGCATTTCAAGGGGTTGCATGTTTGACTGAATCATCTTTTCTTTCTCCAAAGCTTGTGAAGTACACACATTTGGCAGAACTTGTAAAGAAAGGTGCAGTGGACTAGAAGGATGCAAGTCCTACGTGTTCTGTCTCCCAGACCCCTATGGGTGTTCCTGTGCCACAGGCTGGAAGGGCCTGCAGTGCAATGAAGGTAGGCACCAATTCCACCCTGAACAGAAAACGCTCTAGCCATTATACCAAGGAGGTCTGGTTTGCTGGAAGTTGTAAAGCAGGATATACCTGGACTGCTCAGTCAACTATCCGTTGCTGAGCTAGCGACAGGGTTTTGAATCACAGATGTTTTTATCCAAAGTTAATTATACTTCCACATTAAGACTCTGGATCTCATACAAATGGCTTCTCGGATGCATCACCTGGGGATCTTGTGAAAACGCGGATTCTGATTTCATAGGTCTGGACTGGGGCCTGAGGTTCTGCATTTCCAACAAGCTCTCACATGGTGCTGATGCTGTTAGTTTTCAGACCACACTTCGCGTTGGAAGGTCCTAGAAAATTTGTTTTTTCAGTGGGTCATAAATATCGGAGCTTGAGGTCAGATCCAGATAGGATTTGGGATTTGAAAATTGAGAAAGGCAAGATCTTATCTTCTGTGGACCTTACTTATGCAGTACTAGCTTCGACATATTCAAAGGTTCTCTCTGCCCTTTCTAAAACATACTTTCCAGTTTGATGAAGTGCAAAGGTATGTGTTTCTCATCTACTTTCCAGTAAGCATTTCACATCTACTGCCACACAGTAACTTAACATGAACCTGTAGCCAAATATGCCAGATCTTAACTTAGGAATGTTAATGGGAGTGAATTAGCCAGACCTCAAAGGATTTTCAGCAACTACCTCGCAAAGTCAGCTTTTTCTACATCTGGCGCTACTGGGAGCTATTATGGGTCCCCAGCTACCCGATAACAATGTTCTAGGGCAGAACAGTTCAGTAAAATATAAGCAAGATACATATATAATTTAAATTTTCCTAGTAGCCACACTAAAAAAGTAAAAGAAATAGGTGAAATAATTTAAATATTTTATTTAACCCAATATATAAAAACAATTATCATTTCAACATGTAATCAATAGAAAAAAGTATTAATAAGATGTTTTACATCCCTTTTTTTCATACTCAGTCTTTGAAACCTCAGTCCAGACTAGTTATATTTTAAGTGCTTGATAGCCATACATGGCTAGTACTACCCATACTGGGCAGCTTTAGTGGCTTGGGATCAGGGGGCAAAGAGGAGAGTTATACCTACATAAACTTCAGCTACTTGCGAAACCTCTCTCAGTACCTTCTCAGTGCTGAATCTGCTCCCCATGGAGCACTGAGGGAGCCACAGCAATGGTGGAATACCACCTGGCCTCAGAAATGTACACCTTAACATAAAAGGTGCTTACAGGTAGGGGCAGATCCAGTCAGTCCCACTTAAAAAAAAAAGAATATTAAAAAAATCATTTGCAAATTAAAAAAATATATGTGCTCATATGTGAATAATTTGCTAGGGCCCAGGAAGGGGTACATATATGTGAGGGCTCTAGAACATAAGCTTCATCAGCCTTATAGTGAATGGTTTCTCTAGATCCACGTTTATAAGGGTACATTTATTAACTCATCCAAGCTCATGCCTGGCTCAAGAAATCACTATGATTTTGTGAACTGAAATAGTGTAGTGTTCTCCCAGACCCTTCCTAGGACCTCCAATTCCTGTATGTTAGAACTTTGCTATATTGTCCCTTAGGTCCAAGACTCTAATCACTTTTTTCTAACTTTTTTCTTACCTATGTTCTTCAGACCAGATATCTATTGATCTAGCTTTAAGTTCATTGACTCTTTCTTCTGTCATTTCCACTCTCTTGCTAATAATGATATTTCTATTTCAGATATTGTGTTTTCTTCAATTCTAGAAAGTCTTTTTTAGTAATTTTTTATAGTTTCTATTTCTCTGCTAAGATTTCTCACTGTTTCATGTGTTGTGAGCATATTTTCCTTTATCTCACTGAGGATAGTTATTATAGTTGCTCTAAAATTCTTGTCTGCTATTTCTAACTGTTTCTGGGTCACCAGGGTTGATCTCTGATCAGATTTTCTTTTCTCCTGAGGATGAGTCATAATTCTCCATTTCTTTTTACATTGAGTAATTTGGGATTGCATCTTGAACATTGTGAATATTACACTGAGCAGACTCTGGCTTATGCTATATTCATTTGAGGAATGTTGACTTTTGTTTTCTTGTTTTAGCAAGCAATGAACTGGATATACTCAAACTAAACTCTGACTCTTAGGCATCAGCTCAAACTCAGTTCAATTCTTTTACCCTTAGCTGAGATGCCTTGAGTCTGCACTTAGCATGTATGTTTCAGAGGCCAGCCAAAGATTTGGGGCTTCCTCTCTCTGGCTCTCCCTTTCTAGTTTTTTCCTCTTGCTTTCCAGTGGCTGTGGTTGCCCTGACCTCTGGTTATTCAGGTCAGAAAGACTGCAGGTTTTCTTTGGAAGTTTAGTTACCCCACATGATATCAACTGTACCCAACCATTAGAATAAAAGCTGAAAAATGGGAAACACACCATTCCCATCTTTCAAATGTAAATTCCCCTTTAGAACCTGCCTGGTTCCCACCAACTCTTCAGTGCTTTCAGGTAGTTGTTTTTTAAAATATAGTTGTTATTTATGAGAAGGTTGGCCTAGTGAAAGTTTACTCAACCCTTCTGGAAGCAGAATTCCCCAACCCTTTAAGTTCCTGGTAATTCAGATAAATAATGGAGATAAATCACATGCTATGTTAAATGAATCAGCGAGATTGATAATAGAGAAAAATAAAACTAGCCCCCCACAGCCTGAGTTTTCTCCCTTCTCCTGTATCAACACTGGCGTTTGATGTCTTTGTTTGCAGCATGCCAGCCTGGCTACTATGGGCCAGACTGTAAGCTGAGGTGCAGGTGCACCAACGGGGAGATGTGTGATCGGTTCCAGGGCTGCCTCTGCTCTCCAGGACGCCAAGGGCTCCAGTGTGAGAAAGAAGGTAAAGCAAGGTAACACTGTGGTCAGGACCATGGTCAGCATGTCTAGACCAAGCTTTGCTGGTATCATTCTTGCCCCAACAGCCCAAGGTTCTCAAACCACTTCTGTTTCCATCAGAAGTTGAGACGAATATATCCCAAGTCCTAAAGGGTAGCTTCCTGATTCTTTTCTATGGACCCTCAAACTGGCTTTTATTTCCCTTTCCAATAGGAATAAGCCACGTGCTCTTTGTCGCACATTCAGTGATGGCTGGCCGGCTGAGAGTTCTGCCTGCCTTCTCTGCTGTCTTCTCTAGGACCAGCCTTTCCCCTGAATATGTACAACAGGGAAAAACTACTTTGGAGGAATTTGGAAAGAACATATTTTTAAAGGAACATATAAATTTTAAAAAATAGAAAAGATTACCCTCAAAAGGAACTGTTAAATAATTCTAGTTCAGAAGTTACCGTAGAGCAGAGGTCAGCAAATTCTGATCCACAGACTATATCTGGCCCACTATTTTTTTAACAGCTCTATTGAGACATAATTTTTATACCATGAAATTCATCCCTTTAAAATGTACAATTGAATGGTTTTTAGTATGTTTACAGAGTTGTGCAACCATTATCATAATCTAACTTTGGAATATTTCCATCATACCAAAATAAATCTTGTACCTATTAGCAGTAACTCCCATTCTCCCCTCCTTCTAGTGCCTGGCAACCATTAATTTACTTTCTGTAAAAGTTTGCTTATTCTTGACATTTTATATACTGTAAATGGGATCATACAATATGTGATTTTTTTGTGGCTGGCTTCTTTCACTTACCATACTGTTTTTGAAATTTATCTATGTTGTAGCATATATCAGTACTTTCTTTCTTTTTATTGCCCCATCAACAGTTGTCATAACGAAAATTTTATTGGAACACAGCCATTCATTTACAATATATCACGTATGGCTCTTTTACACGACAGCAGCAGAGTTGAGCAGTTACCACAGAGAACTTACAGCTTGCAAAGCTGAAAATATTCACTATCTAGTCTTTTACAGAAAAGTTTGCCAAGCCCTGCCCAGAATATACATTTTAAAATTAAAAGAAGCCTATTTTCAAAAATTTAAAATAATACACATATATTATTTTATCATTCAAGTAAATAGAAATGTTATACATCCAGTGAAATCTACACAGAGTGGTAAGTCATTTATAGCCTTTTCTCTGTGAGTTTTAAAAATCAGAATAGATACAATGGGGGGGGGAATACAACAGTTGTTTTTCAAAAGCTTTAGCTTGTGAGCTTTTTACTTTCTCTTCTTTCCCCAGCATTGGGAGTTTGCTACAGAGCAGGAATTTGGGCGGGTCTAGGAAGGGAAGAAAATGCTTTGGGACTACCAAAGGAATGGACAACTAACAAGCTTTAGGATTTGACTTTTGTATTGTACTCCTTCTTTCTAGGGCTGATGTCACAAAAGGTGTGAGACTCTCAGACTTAGATCCAGGCCCCAAGCTTGCAGAGAGAAGCCCCCTTTCATGAACACCATTCCACCCTCCACCTGTACATCCACCTTCATCTCCATCCAACTGCAGAAAATGCAAGGGGACAGTGAAGGAAAGAAATGATTTAAAAGTGTCAAAGCACTTTGAAAAACTTCTACATGAAAAATTTGATGTTTTCTAATCACAGTCTCTGATATATACAGATATATCAAAGACTTAACTTTGTAGTTATTAGACCTTTTTCCCTCCTGCTGCACACACTTTACCTGTTTGATTCTAGGTCTGAGAAATAGAATATCAATATAAACAATCAATATTGATGTGTTTACCTTCTCCCACCACTGACACAGAACAGCCTGTAAGTGACAGCTGCTCTTGGAGCACCTCCATGTCCTAGAAAACAAAGTGTTGGACTATTTTCAAACATGTCTCACATTTAGTTACATGTGGTCTGAGGTTTTCTAAGACTCCACAGTTCAGAATAAAATTGTTATGTTTCAGGATTTCTCATTCTCTACTCCGCAAGTATTAGGCAAGCCATCCTGATATATTTGTTGCTACCAGAGGCATTTTTTTGTCCTTTCAATATTAGCAGCAACATCTTTGATTCGGCTGTTGACTAGAAATTGATTGGGGTGGGTGGGTTATATTCCACTTTACTTCTTGGAAGTAAAGGTGTATATGATTAATCATCTGCCACTTGCAGACTTCCCAATTAACGAGATATCTCTCATATATCAAAACTGACAATCATGTTGTTGGTTCACAATATCATGGGGTTCTCTGCTGAGTTGAAGAAGAACTAGTTTTATGTTTTTGTTTTTGTCAAAATTCTCTTAAAAAGCAAGAAGGAGGCTCAAAAGTTAGACCAGGGGAGATGTGGCCCTGGTGATCATTTTAATATTGAAACTGTACATCCAGGTCCCTTGAGGGAGCACAGCATTATGGTGAAGAGTGCAGACTCTGAATTCATAAATATCTGAGCTTGAATCTGGGCTCTGAAACTCAGTCTCCTCATCTATAAAATAAGGACTACAACAGCACCCACCTCACAAGTTTATTATGTAATGATAAAACAATATAATATTTGCAAAGCTCTTGCCTAATGCATGACCTGCTAAATGGTAGCTATTTTTATTATTACTACTGCTGCTGTGTTAAAGATTAGATTTCACAGTGCTGTTTTCTTCATTCAGGCATACCAAGGATAACCCCAAGGATAGAGGATTTGCCAGATCACATAGAAGTAAACAGTGGTAAATTTAACCCCATCTGCAAAGCATCAGGCTGGCCACTACCTGCTAATGAAGAAATGACTCTGGTGAAGCCGGATGGAACAGTGCTCCATGTAAGAGTTATACTTAATCTGTCCTCCTGACCCCACTAGATGCTTTCAATGTAGTAATCACCCACTCAAGGCTAGATTCCACTCAGGGCTTGCATTTTCCTAGGCTAGGATGCTGTTAGCTTTGACAAAAAGAAGAGGAGTGTTTGGCATAACCCAATTGGTTCTAGATAGACCTGCTTCCATGTCTCTAGTTCAGAAACCATGGCCCATGGAATCCCTTAGGTCTGAATGCATTCCTCGGGTCCCCCTACCCCTTCACTTTGCCCTCATTGCTGGTGTTCACTGCTGGTTAGGGCACTATTGCAGCAGTTCTTCCTTGCTGGAAAGGACTAAGCTACCTTTCCAATCTATTTCCCTTCTCTTTCCCATAAACCTAAACGCAACAGAGACAGGAGCCACCTCAAATTTCTGTGTGTCACAAGTGATCCTCAGGAAGTTGGTGCATTTTCTTATCTAAAGATTTAAAAAGAGATTTCTTTAAAAGATGACTGCAAATCAGCTTGACAGGAAGGAAGATCCAAGTGACCTGTTGGGGACAGGATATGTAGAATGTGCCATTACCTGTGTGCACACATTAGATGTTCCTAATTCCACTCAAACAACCTATAAGGTAGTAGAAACCAACTAAAGCTTCCAAAATCCTGTTGGCCTCTCCATGAATTAAAGGAAGTAACAACTACCATCTAGTGGGGGCCGACCATACTATATCCAACATCTTACTTAATATTACCTGTCCCGGTTTTGCAGAAGTAAAAACTGGTTGGGTGAAGTTAAGTAACTAAGGTATTGGGCAAAGTGGCAGAGCTGGTATGTGAACTCAGGTCCATGTGTCTTCAGAGCCCTGACTTTTCTCCTAACACCACACTCTATAGCCCCTCAAACACTGAGGAAGCCATTTTCTCCTCTCACTCAGCCATGTCTGTATTAGACCACAAAGGAGCAAATGTTACTTACCAGAAGCAGTTGAAAAGGAATTAGACTCCTTGCTTGCAAGTATTTACCCCACACTCCCAAACACACAAATACAACAGCAGGATCTGTGAGGGCGTCAATCCAATATAAACTTTCGGGGCTACTACAATAGGCTTTGGAAATAAGCCAATGATTATACAAGCATTGCATTGAACTTCTTAATCTCTCCTAGAAAACTTCTCATTAAACAATGAGATGGTGTCAGGGTTAAGGACCTTTGTGTTTATGCCTCCCTAGAAGCTTTTATTTATTTATTTATTTATTCTGTATCTGACCTTTCCAGCCAAAAGACTTTAACCACACGGGTCATGTCTCAGTGGCCATCTTCACCATCCACCGGATCCTGCCCCCTGACTCGGGAGTCTGGGTCTGCAGTGTGAACACTGTGGCTGGGATGGTGGAAAAACCTTTCAACATTTCTGTAAAAGGTAAGCTCCGTTTTCCAGACGAAGAGCTTGTATCCTAGAAGTGCTGTGTTTATGTATCGTTGAGTGCTGATTCCAGATAGAAATGTCATTTGACCACTAAAATGCCTTTTGGATATTTTTCAGGATAGTAAGGCTTTAAAAAAAATTAGATGTGTACGAAAATGGAAAAGAGGGATTAAGTACGTGACCTTTGGAGTCACAGAGTTCTGGGTTTGATTTTTGTCCCTAATAGCTAATAACTTTGTGTGTGGCCCTGAGCAAATGAATTTAACCTCTCTCAGCCTTTCTTTATTTGTAAATAAAGCTTAGTTTATCTGCCTCTCAGGGTTATTGTGAAGATTTGCTAAGTATATAATACACTTGGAATTGTGTCTGGTACCACATGTCTGGTCATGTTTATATTTCATAAAAGTCTAGCTTCATCATTTTACTTCCTATTTGTTATTGTAGAGAATAATTTGGAAAATCTTTATTTTGAGGGTCTTTCAATATAAAGCCCAGGGTATGCTCTATAATTAGCATGAGTGATTTTATTTCACATATTCAGTGTTGTAATTATTGCTCCTATTGTGAATGAGCATTTCAAAATTCAATTTAATCTAAGTGGTTGAATGGACATTTGTGACTTGAGGAGAAGAAATGAAGTGGAGGTATATCCAAGTAAACTTGACTGGTATACATAGATACAACAAGGAATTTCAAATTTGGAAGTTACTTACAAATCCATTTAGACAAAAATATGTACCTCACATAATATAGATCTAACAGCTCGCTGGTATATATTCTTGTAAAGGCACTGGGCTCAATACCTCACATACTTCATCTTATTTAATCTCTATGAGAACCTTGTGTAATAGATGTTGCTATCTCCACTTTAGCAGTCAGTGAACAGGTTCATAGGGTTTGGTTAACTTGGTCGTACATCTGGTAAGCAGCAAATCTTAGTTTTGAACTTGAGTCTCTTGATCCCAATCCCTGCACCATCTCTCCTAGACCATTTTGCTTTCCTAGTCTCTTGCATCACAGATGAGGAAGCAAGTTGGCCAGAGTTGATTTATATTTGATGTGCTTTATTACTTGATTAGGAATCTTTGGGAGAACCCAGAGATGATTTCTATAAGTGAACTGAATGTAAATACCCAGAACATAATCATTTTTAAAAAGGCCAATCACAATAGTAACATAAATAGAGCCTCATAGATTTGGATCTCGGCCCTGGGAATCCAAGTAAACCACCTCAGAATCCTTAATATTTTTTGGATTACTGGAAAAATACCAGATTTGTTTTATTCAGGACATTTACATGCTGAAAATAATTTTATATATCTTGCACATTCTTGAAAGAAAGGAAATGATATTTAGACAAGACAAATTATCTTATTTTTAGGTTTCTTGGAATGTTTGCTATCCATGGAAAATAAATTAGAAGTAGAAAAACAAACCATGTTGCAAAAATTCAGGAGAGTCACCGGCTCTAATTTTTATTTTATGAATGAAAGACACAGCATATAATGTCAGTGCATAGATAGACACACTTCTAGTTCTAAATCACTGATGTCTCTTCACTCTCATATTGACTTATATCATAAAATGGAAATTAATGCTAGGTAAATTAATCAGTGTCTTTAATCATTATAAGAAAAAAATAGACACTAAGCTTTATTACTGGGGTATAAATTGGTACAACCATTTTGGATAACTGGCAATATATACTAAAGCTAACCATATACCTACCCTATGACCTAGCAATTTTACTCCAAGGTATATGCTCAAAAGAAATGTATTCATATGTTTTTAGAAAGACATCTTGAAGAATGTTCAGAGCAGTTTTATTCATAATAGCCCCAAACCAAAATTAACCCTAATGTCCATCAACATTGTGGTACATTCACATGTGGTAGTTTGCTAGGGCTGCCGTAGTAAGTACCACAGACAGTGGGGCTTAGCAGAAATTGCTTTTCTCAGCTCTGGAGGCTGGAAGTCTGAGAATAAAGCACTGTCAGAGTTGGCTTCTTCTGAGGACTCATTCTTTGGCTTGTAGATGGTCTTCTCCTTCCATCTTCATATGTTCTTACCTCTGTACGAGTATGTATCCTAATTTAACCTTCTTATGAGGACAACAGTCATGTTGGGTCAGGAATGCCCCAATGACCTCATTTTAACTTAACTAAGTTTCAACACCCCATCTCTAAATACAGTCACATTCTGAGGTACTGGAGGTTAAGACCTCAACATGTGAATTTTTGGGGCATACAATGCAGTCATAACATCATACAGTGAAATGTTAAACAGCAATAAAAAAAAGGATGAATTCCTGCCACACTATGTATGAATCTCATAGACACAATAATGAGCAAAATAAAATACATGCTATATGATTCCATTTATATAAAGTTAAAGAACAGACAAAACTAATCTATAGTGACAGAAGTCAGGATTGTAGTTCCCTATTGACTGGGAAGGGTTAAGGGTGCTTGGCACTTTCTGGGGGACTGGAGATATTCTCTATCTCAATCTGGGTGGCAGTTATATGAGTGTGTACATAGGTAAAGTCTCTTGAGCTAAATACACTTAAAATTTTTGCTCTTTACAATGAATATCTCTATAATGATCAAAAGACAAAAAACAAAATTATAAACTACTAAGAGGAAGCTGTTGGAGCTATTTTTTTTTACCCTTGTAAAAGTATCTCTTTTAGAAGAGACTGGAATTAATGGCTAAAATAAATTATGCATTTTGATGATTTAAACAAACAGGTGGTCTTATGTGATCATATAAGGGAAGCATGATTTAATGAATGAATTTACTCACTTTTTTCTGAACGCTTTCATCAGAGACTAATCTAAGTAAAATGTGTGTCCAGACTTACCTAACTTAACATTGCCTCCAGTCAGGGGATACTGCTTGAACAGGCTTCTTACTGGCACTATTATCCTGACCTTGGACAACTTCCTCCTCAGTTTTCCTTTAGTCAATAGAATTTACTAAAGGCCTATGTTCTAGGCATTGGGAATACAGCAACTAATAACCCAAGGAAAAAAAAAAAGATTGCTCAGCATAGAGCTTTCATTCCCATAGGGCAATAAATAATGAACAAATAAGTAAGGAAAATGTATAATTTGCTGAAAAGCTAAGTGCCATGGAGAAAACAAAAATGGGTGTAAAGAATGATGGGGCAGGGCTGAAGAGGTGACTGCGATTTTAAATGGGGTATTCAGGCTTCCCTGAGAAGATGATATTTGAACAAAGACTTAAAGGTAATTTTTATGGATGGTGAATCAAAACATTGAGACAGAGAAATAAGGTAAAATTAGTGAACATTGTAATGTCCCCTGAAATCTGAAAGGTTCTACATTACATAATATACACTCTTGCCGAGGAGAAAAACCCAACAGTTACGCATTTCTCAGAAGGTTAAGCTAATGGAGCTATAGAGCTTACTGCTGACAAATTCAGTTGACAAACATTTATTCAGCACCTGGTGAACAAACTTACATGGTCTTTGACCTAATGGAGGTTAGAGCCTACTGCCGTGTTTTACAACTTTTTTAATCGTTACTGTCCCATTAAGCAGCCCTTTTAAAAATTGTATCCCAAAATATACGTTTATGTACTGTGGCTTTCTGGAAGGCCA